AAAAAAAAAAAAAAAAAAAGAGTAGCCCCATCACCAAGGAAATGAACTGCAGGGCTTATGAGGCCACACTTCTGAGGGTCTCTTTTAGAGGGCCCAAAAAGAAGCCTGTATAGAGAGTTTAGGGTAGCCTAGTCAGAAAGAAGGAAGCTGTGTTTATCTTAAAAAGGACACGGGACAGACGGTAGGAAGGATATCTCTGACCAAAAAAACAAAAACAAAAAGTTGAGGTCATGATAGAATGGTCTCCCTCCCAACAAATCGCTCAGGCTTTGACTTCACAGCAATCCCACTGAAGTTGTCTTGAGATACCATCCAGGGGAGCAGTTAAGATATCTTTACTTTTAAAGTGTACTCCCAGCTTCTGCATTCCAGTGAAATCACCCCAGCCTCTGTTCCTGGCCTCCCTGCTTGCAAGGTTCATATGCACCATCTGACCATAATCACCCACTTCCGGTGAGAGTATAAACGGTTAGCGTGTGCATTCCTTTGGGCTGCGATATCTAGCACGGGGCCGGATACTGTTCCTTGCTGCCCCCCTGACCTCAGGACCTGAGCCCTAGCCTGCTTAGACCTGTCCTAGCTTCCAGACTCTTCCAGCAGCCCCCTCCTGTTGCAACACACACATGCACTGGCATGGTACAAAGAAAGTCAAGGTTAAATGATTTTGCTAACCACAGGTGTTTAGGAGAACAAATGACTTGAACCCTGGTTTGCATTTGTTTTACTCTTATTCTTTTCACATACTTTAGTCATCTTTTTTTAGGAGAGACCATCCCCAATTTGTAGATAACCCCACAGTTACAAAAGACAGCTTTGACACTTCTCTCTACTTCTCCATGGCAACTACGGCCACCATGGAAACCACCGGGCAAAGGGGGAGGGAAAAAAACAAATACAGGATCTATAGGATCAAGAGTGAAGGAATGGGATCAACTGTGAAAACCAGTAGGACTTTGGGGACCTTCACTGGAGGAAGGATTCCCAAACAGGACTAGCCTATTTGTAAGGTTACTACCCTGACCCAGTATTTTCCTACCCTAACAGGAAAACTTTCTTTTGATTTGTTCTGCTGCCTCGAGGCAAATCAAAGATTGATATGGATTAACAGGCATCTTACTTTGACAATGGGAATAACTCTGGACTGATTAAAGGCCTACTAGCCATTGATTGGTGAGCATGACTGATTTGAAAGCTTCCAACCATGCCTTGTGGAAGTCAGCTACACCAAATAAACAAGAGCTTGTGTTGAAGGAGTAGAAACTCAAGTAAATTTGGAAAACGGAACGTTTGAGGAGTATGGGAGGGGAAATGCTTGGAGCAACGTGAGAATGGGCAGTAGGAAAGGAGGCACCAGGGGGAAAAAGTGGGCAGGAAAGGAACATGAACCTGATGACCAACCACGGAGGGATAGCTGAGTAATGCATGATGGTCCACCACCGTATGGAAATTTCTCCACCCATGTATAAAATGATCATTAACTCTATTGCAACAAGAGAAATTACTGATATTTCTGAATATTAATATCTGAATAATACTGAAACCACTGATACTATGTAGAGTGACGAAAGCAAGAGGCATAAGAAAGAGATGTCAGAATTTGACAACTACGAACTTCGTCTAGTTTAGTATTTTCACTGGAGATGGACTTCTCCTCCTCCTTCTCACGGTCTGGAAGGGACCTAATGGGAGACACTTCGAACTGTGGGGATGAGGGAAACATCCTGTGGGTGGCACAGCAAAAACTTAGAGCCTGAACCCCTCTCAGCCTTATGGAGCAGAACCTCCATACCAGCCGAGACTTGAGCATGATAGAGAATTCAGCTTTTACCTGGCTCGAGTCACTGTTATCTGGGTCCCAGGCAACCAAACCTATATCCTCTCCAGTGTTCCCCAATGTCCGGCCACCTGCCCTTTTTCCTAGCATACACTTCAGGCACTTCTGTGATTTGAATAATTTTCCATCTTGGGACGTGGGGTGGCTCAGTTGATCAAGCAACTACCTTCAGCTCAGGTCACGATCCTGGGGTCCTGGGATAGAGTCCTGCATTGGGCTCTCTGCTCAGGAGGGAACCTGCTTCTCCCTCTCTTTCTGCCCCTCCCCCTGGTTGTGTGCTCTCTCTCTAATCTTTAAAAAAAAATACATAAATAAATTTCCATCTTGTTCTTTAGTGAAAGGAGCTGTTGTCCACTTCCTACCTATAATTAGTATCAAATAGAGAGTAGAGCTTTTATGAAAGTAACTTTTTGTCAAACCCTAGGCTTGGGCAGCCATAATTCTTTCAAATATTAAGAATTGAGATGCCAGACCACAAAGCATTGTATAGATTTTTATTATTTTACTATTAAAAATTTTCAATCTCAAAATTGGTTAATTTGAAAATAAAAACTAGCCATATATTTGTTTTTATACATTATATACACTTGAGAAATAAATAGTGTTCTAAGTGTTAAAAAAAAAAAGCATCATTATATACAAATAAGGCTTCAAACCAAATGTATAAATACAAGACCCACTGAGGAATTGATTCCAAAGTCTTCCATTACCAAAAATAGAAGTCAGAAGTAATTGGGATGCACAGTCAACAACACAGGCTGCACTTTGGCTAGAAACCATTCACGGAAGCAACAGAGGAAGCACACAATTTAAGAAAATACCTAGAATTAAGACTTGACTGGTTATGTCTTAGAAAGTTTGGCATTGAACAATGATTCAGCTTTGGCACAATACAGATTAAGACTACGTCCTTTAAAAACCTAAATACGGAGAAAATCACTCTTTTCCCGCAACCTGATAGCACATCTCCTTCCAAATAAGACTCATCCATAAAAAGCCCAACTTCTGGGAACAGTTGTTTTCCTGGTTATATATTAACGAAAGGTTTATGGTTTTATGGATGGCTCTGAAAAACAACTCCTTGTTTGTCACATCTGGGGTATACTGGTGGGAAAAGGCTATAGACCTCTTGATAAAGTTGCAGAAATGAGCACACCACAGACTTGCCTCCAGGAAATCTGGGTCATCCCCTGACTCCACCACCAACTTGGTATATCATTCCAGGCATGTGGCCGGAACTCACGAAGCCTCAGTGTTGTCAAATGAGACATGAGCTGCCCTGCTCACCTCCTGTTGTGAGTCTCTAGTTAGGTGATGCACGTGCAAATTTTTGGAAAAGTATAAAACCGTTTCCCAGATATCACATAGATTCATTCATATCAAGATAGAGAATTGGAATCTTTTCTGAGCTCAACACAGAGAAGGCACGGGTATGAGAAGAAGGTATTCCAAGAAGGAAGAAGCACTGTATTAAATCTTAGTGCCAGGTCTGTTTGATAGGAGCTGGTTTCTCTGTGAACGGATCTGTAGAACAGATATGTAAATGCCTTCTATCTGCCTAAGCAGAAGAGATACTGCTCTGAAGCAATCCCATTTGGCAGTTGGCCACCCGTCTGTCCCCAGCATATATGACACTCGGCTTGCTCCCATGCAAGCAATCAAATGTGTCACTCTTCCAGAACTGGCTGAAACCCCTGAAGGCCTAGGATCCCCAACTCTCACACCCTTAGCCCCCAGTGTCCCCCGTGCCCTTCATCACATGTATATCCATGGATCACCTACACTGGAAGGGAGTCTAGAAATCCCAACCCCCTCAGATTCCAAGTCTGGACAGGTTTACGAATGCGTCTACTGCCATGTGCTAATTAAGGTTAAGTGCTTAATAAACATTTGTTCAATCAAAAAATAAGCAATGGAAAACCGAGAAAGCCAACGATGTGTGCTTTAAAGAGTGAGCTGGGGAGCAGGATGGAATGTCTGAAACATGACCAGTATTAATCAGTGCAGCCCACAGAACGCCAACAGTGAGGGCCTCGCCACCACCCCCGATCTTCACTCCCCTCTGTTTGGGGGAATGAGACCACAATTCTGCCATCCTGATGCGAGACCTCTCCCCACCTCTCAGGTCAGGTCAGGCAGTTGACAGCCTTCCACACACTTCCACAAGTGTTCCTTATCAGGGAAAGCCCAGGCTCATCCAGTCACTTAGAAGCCAGCCCGGGGTGCACAAGAGGCCCTGGGCCTTTGGCCCTTTGCACACAGGTCTGGAGTCAGAGCCATTTTAGAGCAGCAGGAACAGCAGGAACAGCAGTGCGTGGTCCCCTCTGGCGAGAAGTCCCAACCATCCTAGGAGGTAAGGTCTTGGGCCCAGCAAAGAGACTCTTCCCGGGGCTCGAGGGTCCAGGCCAAGAGGGGTCCTTCCATCAGGTGGGTCCTCAGCAGTAACTTTCCTCCGTGTCCCTGGAAGGCGGGGGTGGGAGGGCCTCGCTGGCCCCTCAGAGAAGCTCCACAGCTAGGCTGTAGGGAACCCTGTAAGAGAGGCGCTCTGTCACTCGCTTGGCCAACACACCAGCCTGCACTGAGTGCATCCTCTGCTGACCTCAAGACCAGGCTTTCTTACACACCTATCACACTTTTCTACTTTCTTTCCATTCAGACCAAGAGGAAAGGGTCCTGAGTGCCTCTTCTTCCCCCTCTCCCAACAAGCCACGGATTCACTTGGAGAAACACAACACTGGGGCAGTCTCTGGGTTCCTCGCTACTTAAACCTTGGTGCTGGCTTGCACAGATTTAGCACAATACTCGTCCACCACACACACACACACACACACACACACACACACACAAATGCAGGGAGAATGATCCATGAGTCTTCTTTGCCTTGACCTAGAAACACAAGAGAGACGGTAGGATTGCAGGAAGGGGACAAGTCAGAATCCAGAGATCTTGATTCTACTCGATGCTATGCTATCACGCAACTGAACCTCCCAGAAACTTAGTCTCTTCTATCAGTGAATAGGTGACCAGTATCCACATTGGGGGAAAGAATACTGAAGACACAACATATGTCTAGGAATGTCAGGACCTCCTCGTGTTGATGGATTACTCTGGCTTCTACTGCTTTCTATTCCTTTGAGGGTAAAGGAACAGGTGACTTCTTTTCTCAAAGAGGCAGTAGGAGGTGAGTCATACCATTCTCAACTATTGTGAAGTTCTGGAGCGGAAAAGAAGAATAAAATGTCTTATCATAAGATATGTTATCATAAGAATAACGATAAGATGAGTGATCCTCCTTGGGCATGTCCAATCTACACGATTGTTCTGAGGATCGATGAAATTAATATTTGGGGAAGCACTTGGAAAAGTACACATTTGAATACAAACATAAAGAATTAAAATTATTATTAGGGCGCCTGGGTGGCTCAGTTGGTTGGGCGACTGCCTTCGGCTCAGGTCATGATCCCGGAGTCCTGGAATCGAGTCCCGCATCGGGCTCCCTGCTCAGCAGGGAGTCTGCTTCTCCCTCTGACCCTCCCCCCTCTCATGCTCTCTCTCTCTCATTCTCTCTCTCAAATAAATAAATAAATAAAATCTTTAAAAAAAAGAATTAAAATTATTATTAGAGGAGAATTTCCCATGGACCTGCGCTGGACTGAGCCACTTCATTAGACGGGCAGTTTTCAGAATGCTGCGCATCCTGTGATCGCCAAGCTTATGGTCAGGCTGGTGATTCTGAGCAGGAAACAGAGCAGTGGGGATGCAGCCTGGCCCCCAGGGCTGGCGGATGGTTAATCCCAGGGGACCCCAGTATGGGTGCAGCTGCTTGGTAATTGATACCCAGATCAAGGTGAGGTGATTCATCTGCGCAAGCAAAACCTCCACGCTCAAGAAAGACTACAGGCTTTAGAGTAAAGCAACGTACTTCAAATGTTCGCCCTGCCATCGCCAGCTGGGGGACCTAGAAAGAATGACCCAACTTCCCTGAGCCTCAGGGTCCACAACAGCATGCAGGGTTAACACCACCAGCGTCATGGGGTTGATGACAAAAGTAAATGAGATAGCATAGGGAAGGCACGGAACACAGATGGGCACACGCCACATGCTCGGGGTACCATGGCAGCACCTGGGTTGGGGTAAGTGGTGGGGGCCCGTCTCCATCCTCTTCAGCAGGTATTTAGGCTCAGAGGCTCTGTGATGAATCCCCCTTTGGATGCACCCGCTGCCTCACACCATGAGACCAGCCTTTCCTCAATTCTGAAATAATGGGACTCCAGAATGGGGCAATGGGACACTGAAGGAAGATGTGTCTTCTGTCTCATTCAGTGCCATGCACATGAGCATTCCTGCTTCTCAAAGAGGGGGAGAACTGCCCAATAGTCTCCACTTACACCAACCGGGGCTCCAGAAAACCTACAAATGGGGACTATATTTGGCACTTCTCCTTTACCTCCCACCTGACTCCCCACTCCAAACTTGTGCCCAGAAGGAAGCTGGGAGCCCTGGAACCTTCCCGCAGCCCTGCTCACCATGGAGAAATTCATTCTAAGATGGCCTGATTCCAGCGGGGCCATGGGCTGCGAATGCCTTCTGGGGGAGGCAGAACAAGAGGCAGAAAGACACAACCACCCTCTGACATCCTCCATACTCCACGGATTCCATCTCCTTCCAACAGGTCCGCTTCCCAAGAGAAGGGATTTGTATCGGTTTTGCTCACTGCTGTGTCCCCCGTGCCCAGACCCATGTCCAGCACATGCTGGAGCACCTGTCAACATACGATGCATATGAGAAAGTCCCAGTTACCTGGTTTCATTTTTCATTCTCCAGCCATCTCGACACTTGTGGAACCAGAGCTCTTGGCCAGGGGCGATGCTGGTGTTCTCAAAGTCTTGCACACAAAAAGTTAATCTAGGAGAAAAAAGAAACCACCAGTGTAGCCAAAACTCTAGTGGGGGAGGCACATCGCTGTGCCTCAGCCAGATGGTGCTTTCTGGATCCAAAGTGGATCGACCGAGGAGAAAAGTGTGTCTTCATCATGCCACACCCTGACCCAAACCTTCGGAACTCCCCATTGCTGCTACAAGTGTCCTAAACGTGTCTCACTCGGACATCTGCCATGATCCGGTTCACACAGATTTTCATCACACCCCTTCCACTTTCTTCTGTCTGTCCATCCAAAAGTCTGCCTGCCTTTCAAGGCATAGCCTCTCTGAAGCCTCTCTGACTGCCCAAGCCCTTGACCTTAATAGAAAAGCGTATTGTTACATAAGTGTTGTTTTTGCTATTGTCATTACCTTGTATGGTATGGAGTTAGTAATGAATGTCTTGTCTTATTTTAACACATTATACACTGCCTTGAATTGCTCATGGATTCCCATATCTGTGGTGGACTACACACTCCTCAAATGGAAGAATTCAAGGTACCTCCATTAGGGTGCTCAGAAATACCCATTGATAAGCATAACTGAAGTTCAGCTGTGGGTCAAAATCAAAGATTCAGAAAATGCTCAACCAAGATCACGGAAAAAAAAAATCAGTACTCAAATAACCATTTCGACTATAACTTAGAGCCAAACCATGGGGACCTCAATGGTGTGTAGTTAGCATGACCCCATGACCAAAAGATGTATATGGGACACCTGACCCCGATGTATGGGACGTGCTGACTGAAGGGACAAAAGCCACATTCAGAACAGGTTTAAGAACCTTTACCAGGAAGACCAAACAACCCATAAACATATAAGAAGGGGACCCACCTCATGGAGATCAGGAAATTAAAACACATTAACACAACAGTAAGGGACCAATTCACACCCAATGGTGAGAGTGTCCCACCAAGTGGAGGTGAGGAGGGAAAGGAGACTCTTACTCTTAGATTGTCAATTTGTCTCAACACTTTGGAAGGAGATTAAATAATATCTGGTCACATTGGAGAACACATTTACTGTAACCCCGCGACAGTGGAAGTGTGCAAAGGGGCTTCAGCTCCCCCAGTTCCCAAGTTTCTAGGCCAGAATCTCTCGGACAAGGGACCCAAGCCTCCCTCCGCCCTCGGCCACTCGGTGCCACAGGTGATGGATAGAAACGGGCCACATGAAGAACTGTGAGGGAGACAAAAACGAGACTAGGTACAGAGAGGGTGGAGGCTGCTTCCTCTCATGCCCAGGCTGGCAGTGACCTCCCAGCAGCCCACAGCAGGATGTGGCCAAGGAAACCCTCCTCTCTTGACAAAGGCCTCACCGGCTTCCCTGACTTCTGCTCAGAGTCCAGGCACGGTTTCAGGGGCTGATACATATAGGTCTGGAGTTCTCGTGCCAGGCTGAAGGTTTGAAACCATGGGGGACTGTGAGCCAGCATAGCACGGAGGATTCGCTGTTACTTGACGTCAGGGCCCCACCCCATAACCTTGACTCACAGCCTCCGAAGGAAGGGTATAATGCTCTGAAAGTCAGGTGCTGGGGAAACCAGGGCCTCAGGCAGGCCTCATCCATGGGGGCTTCCTAGGCTCGATACTCGAGTTTTCTCTGGACAGGGGCAGGCAAAGATGTTGGTTGGCCAGACCCCTATAGCAAACGGATCAGCAAGGCAGTGCCCCTAAGGAGGAGCCCTCCTTCCTCTGGGCCAACACAGGGTCTGGCAAACACAGCCGAGGCTGGACTCCAGCCCCCACTTTGCCCACCCCCTTCAGTTGAGGGTCTGGAATCAGGACACAAGCTACACAATGGTTGACAGAGGTCTCCAGGTAGAGTTCACTTTTCCTTACAGAGGTGTCTGCGGTGTTGCCCATGTGCTCTGGGCGCAGCACGATTGGAGATGCCTGCTCAGCAAAGGGGAGGGCACGGCCGAGGCAGACGCTCCCTGCTCCCCATTGACATGAGGCCCTTACCTCCGCTGAGTTTCCCCCGACTTGACCCGGATGCGCCTGATACTCAGTTCCCGCTCAGTGCTGCGGGGCTGAGACAGGTAGCTTCGAAGCTCCTTCCACAGGTTGTACCAGGACTGAGCTGTCCCCTCCCAGGTGAGTTTGATCTTCAGGAGGTCTCCCAGGTCCTCTTCGGTGTAGACCAGGAAGGTGTTGGTGGCATTCAGCCCAATCTGCTCCACTCTGCGAGGGGACATAGGGGCAGGCGTCACTCACCGGCCCCCGGAAAACTGCCCCGCAGTGACTGCAGACAAATGGGCCCACAGACACTGGTCTCCCTCTGAACTCCCAGCCCCTGCCTGCCTGTCCCCCTCATTTGACACTTGGGGAGCCTGTCCCACCCTGTTCGTGTGCATACACACCTGGTCCCCCAACTAGACCCTGAGCCCTAGGAAGTGAGTACTTTGATGACATTACTTTGCAATCCCAGAATTACTTGGCACGGCGCTTTGCACCTTGCATGCGTTCAACAGATATACACTGATTGCCATGTGCCCTTCCCACAGACAATTAGAAACAGTGCAGGAATGGCATTTATGTTCCAAATTTCCTACGACCTCAGGTGTCAGGCGTTGCCTGAAATGAAACAGCAGTCTCTGTCCAGATGATCCAAAAGCTTCTCATGCTGCTGATTCATCCAGGGGCATCCGTCCCAGAAAGGGTCTGAGTCAAGGGCTTGGTGGAGAGTGTGGCCCACAGACGCCTCTGGAGCCGCCCAGCCCCTCCCATAGGCCCTCAGGCTGCACTCCCCTGCACTTGTTCACACATTCCCACACTCGCTCAATCTTAGACTGACTTGTGCTGGGTCCTGAACCCATCAAAGGGAGTGTGTGACTTACATTTCCAAAGGCAGAAGCTGGGAGTCTGCACTGGTACCATAAAGGGTGACATAGAAGTTGGGTTCGATTTCTCCCATCGTCTTGTAGCTGAAGATATGGATTTTCATCTGATAATGGTAAACTGCAGAGATAGCGGAACAAAGGCCTTTGTGAGCTTTGCTGGCCATCTCAGGACACCCCGACTCAAACTGAGTCACCCAGCACACTGAGTTTTTAGGGGCTGATGTCCCTTTGGTCCAGCCCAGCCTCCAGCCTCCCTCTGCTCTTGTTTCAGTCCAATGGTGTAAGGGATCACTGCAGTATTGAACTGAGCCCCAAACATGGAGTTCAGGGAATTTGGGGAGGGGGGAGTTCCAGCCTAGCTGTGTGACCTTGAATGAAGGACCAAGGTATTAACTCTTTGAACCCCAGCTTTCTCATATGTAAAATAACACCCACAAACCCCTATGGTCTTAGAGCATGTTGTAAAAATGCAAGACATGATTTTGATTCCCTGTTGGTCCAATCTCAGATGTGTTGTGACACTCAAATGAGAAAAACAGGAAATAGCTTTGCAAAAGGCAAATGCAAAGAAATGAAAAAATTTCTATCTTAATACAAAATTAAGATGCTGATGTTGCGATCGGGGAGTGATGATGTGCATCACGAAAGGAGTCCCCACCCCTTATTTTTCATGACTAACTTTCCTAGGGCATGCACAGCATCATCTGATTTGCAGTGATTTGATTTCACTAGCGCCGGTCCCATCTTCCGGCCTGGGATGTGCCCTTCCCACAGCATGGTGTTGAGAAGAGCGGAAAAGAGGAAGGGCCTTCCTCAGGGCGCTGTGGGGCCCGGGGGTTACCTCTGAAAGGCATGCCTGCCCGGGTTTTGAGATACATTTTGCTGTTCCTCTTGCTCCTCGATTTCTTAGCATTGTAGCCTATGCTGTTACACCGGTTCTTCCGGCAACTGAGGCAGATCCCCTTTTTGAAGCGATTTGAGTCCGTGCACTGGAACGCAAAACTCGGCTTGTCCTGATTCACCAGGGAGTCGACAAAGAGGTGTACGGCCCGCTCGTGCTCACATTTCACCACCTCCGTGATTGCTGGGGGACGGAGAGACAGGGAACAATGCAGGATGAGCCTCTCATCAAAGACAGATTATGACTCCAAGGCCCATAGAGGTGAAGTAATTTGCTCAGGGTCACACGATCACTTGGTTACAAAGTTAGGAGTATAATTTGGATTTTCTGGCCCACAGTACGTCATTATCTCTCGTAACCAGAAGCTAAAGCCAATAGTTCAGTAAATCCTAGGACCTTAAGAAAAATTTGACAAAGCCATCCCATCCTTTCCTCAGTAACACCACCGGCTTTAAGGAATGCCGTCATCTGATGGGGGTCCTGGCATCGACCCCCAAGCCTTGCAGGGGCTACTCGGATATTATCCCATTGGGAGAGGGCTACAGTCTTAAGACTGAATGAGAGAGAGGGGGACATCTGAAGGGTAGAGCATCAGAGTGCAGAGAGCCAACGGGGGCCAAGACGTAGCAAGACTGCCAGGACCCGAGGCAGTGAGTAGGGGGAAACCCGGAAAGAGATGGGTCACTGCGGCCACACATCAGTTCAGCAGCAAATTCAGTTCAACCCAAGTCTGCTGATAACAGCCTCAGGCATTCAGAAGGTAAATCATAAGTGAATGGAGACATTATCTTGGTTTTCCTTCTTTAAAATGTCACATAAAATTAAACTTTAGTGCATCCATTCTGTACAAGATTGTACAGCCTTTAAAAAGAATAAGGTAGGGGGCACCTGGGTGGCTCAGTCGATTAAGTGTCTGCCTTTGGCTCAGGTCATGATCCCAGGGTCCTGGGATCGAGCCCCACATTGGGCTCCCTGCTCAGCAGGGAGTCTGCTTCTCCCTCTCCCTCTGCTGCTTCCCCTGATTGTGCTTTCTCGTGCCCTCTCTCTCAAATAAATAAAATCATTAAAAAAAAGCATAAGTTAAGTAAATCTACGTGCTCTGATGTTTAAGGATATTCATTTTATATATATTATATATATATACACACACACACATTTGCAAAGAAAAAAAGACTAGAAGGATACGTACAAACTTGTTCTATTGGCTACCTCTGAAGAACAAAAGAGGGAATGGGAGAAAGGGGTTTACTTTTTGCTCTATGCGATTCTGCATTGCTTGTTTTTTTCCCCCTCAACAAATATATATTCCTTTTCTTATAAAAAGAAATTAATCAATAAAAACTGGGACCTCAAAGCATGAGGACGCCAAGCAGAGACCCATAGATGGCTGTTAACAAGCCTGTAGAAGGATGAACTGTACATGGGGTTGGCAGCCCCCGTGGGGTGGGGGCATAATGAAACGAACATTGTTGGGAGCACTACCAGCTGGGGCTGACTGAGGAGGAGATGTGATAACCGAGTCAAACGTCTCCATGAAGCAGAAAATAAGGAACTCACTTCCATATGCAATTGACCCCAAGACGTCATTGAGTCCACAGCCTGGCTGAAAGTCACCGCCGTTGGGGTAGATGTCGATGTGGCCCACGGGCATCTGAATCCCGATGCTCAGGCCGAAGGAACGTGTGTAGGTGTGGAGCACATCTACAAAGTCTGCGTCGTCAGGGGACAGCCTCTTGTGGATGTCCACCCCTTCAAACAAGGGCCCGGCGGGATCCAAACCTACAGCAGAATGGGGAGCCAAGACCCACTGTGTCAGCTGTGCCAAATCCATGAGTCCTGAGTTAAAAGTAAATCCACGTGTGCACAAGGAAGGCATCCTCGGAGCCAAGCCCAACAAATCTGGAACCGTGTGATGCCCACACTTGGGGAACCTGTGCTTTCTTCTGGAGCCTTCACCTGTCCTCACAACTCAATGGACTCAGAAAACTGGCTGCCAGGTTCACAATGACATGCAGCTCCCAGAAGCCCCAGACTGTCAGAAATGGAGCAGTTCTAGAAAGAACTCAGGCCATCCGTCCCATTTATTCTGCCACTGAAAGCCTTCCGCAGCCTTAAGTTAGCAGGCCTTTTATGGAATAACCAAACTACCTCCATCTTCTGGAGGGAAGACTCAGTTTACCCAAACTGAGCTATTTGCATGTGGACTTACTCTTCCCCTTCCTTTAGTGATGAATCAGGCCCAAGGATAGAACGGTGAGTCAGGAGTAGGGGCCACAGCAGACACACTGAGGATCCACATCCCAGGCTTCCAGAATTCCTGTATTTTGCAGCTAGGAGGTGAAATCCTTTTGCCTGCAAACTTTCTGCATTGAACAGGCAAGCAGCAACGTAGAGAGAACTGGTTCTCACATTTAAAACAGCGCAAATATCACTGGGAGGTTGGTGAAAATTCAAATTCTACTATGTAACTATAAATTCTGTATAACTATAAATATATATACTATGTAACTATAAATAAATATCACGGGGAGGTTGTTGAAAATTCAAATTCTACTATGTAACTCCCTCGGGAGGAGGGGCGCCTGGGTGACTCAGTGGGTTAAGCGTCTGCCTTCAGGGCCCCTGGGTGGCTCAGTTGGTTAAGCGACTGCCTCTGGCTCAGATCATGATCCTGGAGTCCTGGGATCGAGTCCCGCATCGGGCTCCCTGCTCGGCAGGGAGTCTGCTTCTCCCTCTGACCCTCTTCCCTCTCGTGCTCTCTATCTCTCATTCTCTCTCTCTCAAATAAATAAATAAAATATTAAAAAAAAAAAAAAAGAAAAAAAGCGTCTGCCTTCAGCTCAGGTCATGATCCCGGGGTCCTGGGATGGAGCCCCACGTGGGGTTCCCTGCTTAGCTGGCAGCCTGCTTCTCCCTCTCCCTCTGCCACTCCCCCCTGCTCGTGCATGCTCTCTCTCTCTCTAATAAATAAATAATAATAAATAAAATCTTTAAAAAAAAAAACTCTGGACACACAAGCCACTGGCTACCTGTGTATATGTGTGCTGGCGGAGAGGGCAGGGCAGGGAAGCGAACGGGTAGTAGCAACAATAAAAGAGACTTTTATTTTGGAACCACGTGAATGTAAACCATTCAAAAAAAGAGTTTGCAAAGCATGAGGTGCAGATTCTCCAAACCCGTCAAGATTCTGATTGCCAAGTCTGGTGTGGAGCCCAGAAATGTGTTATTTATTCCCCAGGTGATCCTAAAAAGGAGGTGGTCTATGAACTAGATCGGAAAAAAACTTCTCCCACCATCAGTATCATCGATAACATTGAACCTGAATATCTTAATCCATACAGTTCATGTGAGATATTAAGAGTTTAAGTGCTTGTCAGTGTAAATACTAGCCGCTATTACCAAGTAATTATGGGAGCCGACTTCCTGCCCCCTGGCAGGATCTCTGCCCTACAGACACAGGGAGAGGCCCTGGAGAAAGTTGAGAATACTGTGCACTGTTTAGTCTAGAATGGTGGTTCTCAGCTGGGAGTGATTTTGCTCCTACGGGGACATTTGGCAGTGTCTGGAGACATTTTTGGTTGTCACAGTGGCAGGGAGAGGGAGAGAAGCTGCTAGCAGTTAGTGCGTAGAGGCCAGGAAGGCTGGATAAACATCCAGCAATGCTCAGGTCAGCGCCCACAACAAAGCATTAGCTGACCCAAAATGTGCACAGTGCTGAGGCCAAGGCACCGTGGTCTGGAAACACCACATCAGAGAGGAATTAAGACTAAGAGCAGAGTCATAAAAGGAGGAGATGGGTAACAGAACCCATCCGATCCCAGCACAAGAGAACCAGGGAGCACACTGTGAGGCTTGAATCACTGGGGTGATTTCAAAGTAAACAATAGGCAGAGCTATTGTCTGGAGTGGACAGTAAATTCATGAAACTCATCACTCAGGAGAACTGTAGAGACTGAAAGTAAGCAGGTTCCAGAAGAAGTTTAGAGAAATGCCTGTACGACCAAGGCAGAAAGGCAGCCCGGGCTGCCTGGTGGTTCATCCATAGCCCAGGGCCCCAAAGGAGGATGGCACAAAAACAGTGACCCCCCCCAGCACAGCCCACGAGGACTTGGTTCAGAGGCTTCCAAGGGCTACAGTACCAACACAAGCAGCCTCCCCCTGCCTCTTGCTATGTTTTCTGGAAGAAAAAAAAAAGAGAGAGAGAGAGAAGACCATTCTGCTTTGCAACCAATACAAGAGAGGGGCTCTTTGCTTGATGTGAACAAAAGTCTCCACCAGACGGTCAGTGCCATGGAAACCAAGCTGAGCTGGAAGAATGTGGGCAGCTGACAGGGCTTTTGGAGAAGATGACCGGGGGGCGGGGGGGGGGGGGCACGGGGCCCTTTCCCCCCCCCAGCCCCCCCCCCCCTGACAGGGGCCGGGGGCCCAGAGATTGGGGGAAAATGCACAATTTACTTTTTTAAACTAGAAATAAGAGGGAGAGCTGCTCCCCGGCAAAAAAAAAAAAAAATAGAACAGGTGGAGAACCACCCCTTCTTCCATTCAGTCAGAGCCCTTCCAAAGATGTTCTGTCCAGCAAATGGAATACACACGTGCATGCACACGCATACACACCTGGGAAAACCTCTGCACTCTGGCCTGGCAGGGCAGGGCCTGCTGCATTTCAATTGCTATTTTATCTCCACCAACAAAGGAGAGGTGGGATGGCCCCGTGGCTAGGTGCGGGCTCTGCAAGCTGACAGCCTGGGTTTGAATCCTGGCGCTGCTACTTAGGATGTAAGACGTTGTACCCATTATTTAAGCACGAAGTCCTGGTTTCCCCATCTGTAAAATGAAGCGGAAAGGCCCCTTTTGCCCCACTGCGCTGAGTCTTAGAGATAGCATGAAGTCCTTGTCACATCTTAGGTACTTGACATTAGGAAGCATCTGGCCCAGTGTCTGTACAGAGTGGACACTGAATTCATAGTTCTTGAAGGAACGAATGATTCTGCTGGCTTATTTGTAACTAGACACAGGGTCGATTAGAAATCTACAACCTCTTCCCTAGTATCGCACAGAATTCTCTCAAAAGCCTAAGAAAGTAAAACTCTGGCAACCCCCATCCACAGGTCCAATCCAAGCGAGACTAGGGTTCAGGGGTCCCCCTGTTGGCCTCCGTACAGCGGCATCATGGGTCTCAGGACCCCACACAGGCTGCAGTCTGGTCCTTCTACTAGTTGGGACCACCTGGTTCCCAGGCCCATGGGAAGTCAGCCGAGGGCAGGGAGGAGAGTACACACTCCTCCCCCATCGGACACGCACAACAGCACGCATCAGGTGAGCCACATACCCTCTGAAGGGCCTCTTGGCAACTGGACAGAGGGTAATCCTTCCCGCTGTGCTCACCCAGCCCTGGCCCACAGAGAAAGGCTGGAGAACAGGGGCGTGCTCCGGACATGCAGACAGCTCGGAGCACTGATTAGCATTCGGCCAGCAGAGACCGCATCTCAGCAGCTGCCCCCCAAACAGGCAGGGGGAAAGAACTGGAAAACTCTTCCCTAGCCCCATCTCATTTCAGATTCAGAGAGAGGGAACGGAAGGCTCTGCAGCTTGTCCTTGCAGCCAACGACCCTCATGGGGGGTAGGGGGATGGGGACGTGACACTCGTATGTGCTGCAGTTTGAACAAGACTGGTCTGGCTCTGAACATCATGCCTCTCTCTCACTGGGGGCCAGGGGGAGCTGCTCAGACGATGGAACCCAGAGTGGCTTACAGCTGAACAGCTTTGCACCAGCAAAGGGTTAATGAGCAGTGACGTGGCCACACAATCACGGTCCACCTGGACGCTCAGGCCCCACAGGCTTGGTAAACAAAAACGAGGCTCTCAGGCTATGCTAAATCAAATAACTGGACCTAAAGGAGTGTGTGCACGTGTGTGTGTGTGTGTGTGTGTGTGTGTATACATTAGACTGAAGCCCAGGGATGACTGGAGGTGGGCCAGTAAAATTTCACAAATAAATCTACCCCGGCAGCTTGGTGCTAAAACCTTTACTAAATCGTTTGTTAGCTAAGGACTCCCTTCTTCATTGTTTTAAAATAAAAACTCTGCTGGGAAAGAAAATGATCAAATCTTTCTTTCTAGGTGACCAGTTGGGGCCTTGGCATTCTTGGAGGAGAGAGGGAAGCTGGGAGTGAAGATGAATCAAAGAATTCTGGAAGGAATGTAAAAGTTTAGGGCAACAAATTTGCCATTAATTTCAGCCTAGAGGAAGCACAAAAATGGGAAAGAAAATCTTTCCCACTTTTCAAATCATTAAATGATTTAATCCAAACACACATCAGAAGCTCACCAAGATGGAAAACACAATTTTTTCACTGACGACCTGGGGACCAACATCAGAACGGCCTCTTTAATGACAAAGTTGAAGCATCCATTCTAAACAGATAATTACCACTAATAAACATGCCCGCAGAACATGGGGAAAAGGCTGTTGGCGGATGAAATAGAACTAAGGCAGAATTCAAACTAGAATCTGCCACTCTTCATTTCCCTGGAGGCCCTGAGCATCGCTGGCAGACAACGGAGCGAGCCTCAGAGGTTCACAGGTCAGGATCCACCCCAGTTCGGCACGTTAGTTATTAGCTGTTTGCCCCTGGGCATTTCCTTGCCTGTCCGACTAGACGGGTGGTTTTCCAACTATGTTCCCTGATGTTCTGGGGCCCTGAGATTTCTCTGCATAAGGGGAAGGCCCCCTAGCAAAGCGCGCACTACCCACCATCTTTCCAGCTGCGACCAGAACATTCCCCTTTATCTGTTTCATGTATCAGAGTCCCACACAAGTTCAACTTGTAAGAAGGACTCTGTGGCCGAAGAGAACACTGGAAAGTTCTGGGTTAGATACCCTCTGGGTCCATTCCAAAGCTAACCCTCCACGGCTCCCTCGTGCTGCCTCTGCGGGAGCACTCCGGTTCAGAAAAGCCAGCGTGGCAGGGGGGCTGAGGGAGTTTGGGGGTGAGCCAGAGCGCAGGAAGCAGATCCTACCTGTGATTCTGCCCACCGTGCCTTTCACGAAGTTGCCAGCGTACCCAGCCACGTGAGCTCCCAGGCTGTAGCCGATCAAGTGGACATTCCCGAGAGAAAAATCATCCTTCTCCTGCGAAATGTCACAAAAGTGACTGTGAGTGAAGTGTGTGGTCCTGAGCCCACAGGGTCACCAGCAATCCAACAATTCTATGGCAACAAGGAACCGGGGACAGAGACTTGCCAGGGTGTCGCCCGCCTTGCTGGCAATGAGACAGGGATGGGACGCAGCCAGGGAAGGGGAGGGCAAAAGGACTTTACGGCCCTTTAAATGCCAAGTGCTGAGGGCAGGGTGGAGGTTATGACTGGAAGCTACATACCTGACCGTTGGGCTACATTTCCATTCCCTCGGGCACTATGGGAGGCAGCCGACTCACTGGACACTAAGGGCCAGCCACAGGCTGCAGGAGCTTACTCTCTCCCCACTTCTTAGGCCCCAGGAGCTGCTGGTCTGCTCACCACAAAGCCACCCAGAGAGAGGGCACTTCGCTGGCAGGGTGAGGAGGTAGGGCCTGGACCCTACAGCTCAGAAACCCAGCTCTACAAAACAACCCAGGCAGAGAACTGGGGTATGGCTTGAGAACCCTGACCAGACTGCTGCCAGGAGTCATCCGATTCCATGGGCCAAAGGAAGGTCAGACTGGAATCGCCCTGATCGTGGGGTCACTTTGCCAGTACACCCCTGCCTCCAGGTAAGTCCGCTGATCTCAGGCAAATCATTAACCTATAGAGTGTAAATGTAAGACCTCGAGATCTGTTTTCCACACTTAATATTTTAAGCGTCGCATTAGACTGCATTTGCTGGAACCAACCCCCTCCTTCCCCTGAGGACAGCCACCCTTCAGAGGAAAGGAGCAGAGCAGACCACAGTAAGTTTTCAAGATTTCATGCTGGTCCTGGCTCCTGACTATTCCCAACCCGAGGGCATCAGCGAGGAACGACCCATCGGGCAAATTTTCTTCCGGCAAATAAAGCAACGGGCAAGATCCAGAGATATATCAATAACTAAAACGCTTTCCAAAGTTCCCACTTTCAAGCATTTCACGCAATACGTAATTCAGTAAAAATTTGAATCCCAAAGACATCCTCAGACTCCTGGAGTTCACTGTCACCCAGTCTGAGTTGTATTCTCTTATGCAGTTTCCGGTTCAAGATCTTGTTCTTAAGAGCGGTTACCTGCAGCCAGTCGAGCATCCTTGCAACACTGTGTCCCACCACCCTGGTGTTATTGACCGCGTCCGTGTAAAGCTGGTGGGCCAGGGGAAGCCAGTCAACCACGACAACGTTGGCTTCTTTCTCTCTTATCTGCAGGGCTGACACCAGCTTGTATAGCCAACTTTCAAACATGCCGCTCAACTGCAAAGAAAACAGGACATTTAAAAAAATTCTTCTTATGGGTTTCAGAAATCCTAATGAATATGGAATTCAGTTCCATGACCCTCTCCCCAGCCAGTTCCAGAACTTTCACAATGGCTGCTCAGGCACCAAACATTTGCGCATGAGCAGGGCCGACCACAGGCAGGATTGCTACGTGAGTGTTGGTCTCCTATTGCTCTTTATATCTTGCTTTTTCCCATCAAAATTTGCATAGCTGGTGTCTTAGGCTGCCACCCACTGTCCAGTAGGGCCACTATGATATAAGTGGTGGTGGCCATTCTGGCCTGGGGTTAGCCGGAGTCCCTGTCACAGATGAGCACATGGTGCCAAAAGGCAACTGGGAAGGGTTGCCCTGGAGAATTAGCTTCTCTATCAGAGATGCAAGGAGATGCTGTCTCCTAGGCAAACGCAGAGTTAACAGATGACCCCTTCCCACAGCTCATCTCCGCCATCCCTCTCGATTCCAGAGTAGGGAAGATCTCTCCCTGGAATCCCAAATTAGAACTCAGAACACATTTTCCCACAGAAACAAAGTTATAAATAGTGCCTAGGTCCAGTTGTAAACCTATCCACATGTACATTATTAGATAAATAGATTTTCTGTGCCTGGCCTGGGAACCCAAACGCCATTTACAATCTCACTTCTATGGGAAACTGCTGTTCCAAGTTCCAAACAGATTACAAAAGAACTTTCTGGAATGCAACCCATTTGTAAGTTGCAGGCAGTTTGTATTTGCATTTTGACAGGGGGCCTTAAAAAGGTTCAATTGCATGATTCTAATTGTGGGCTGTGGGATGAGGCTGGATAGCCAAGCCCCTAACCATCTCTCCAGGCACATTAGGTAGATAGGCATTTACCACCCCCCCAACCCCAGGCCTGACCCCAGCAGTTGGTGATAGACCTAAAGACCCAGAAAGCATTTAACGGATATGAATTTCTCATCATTAAAAGGAGGAATGTCCCCTCCCAATTAGCCCAGGCAGAAACCTGCTCACTTAATAGTGTCATTTTCCTACAGACCATCATTATACGAATGAATAAACCCCTCGCTGGTCAAAAGCTTCTAAAGCCGAGCGTTAAAACCCTTTTTTGTTGAAGTTTGTCATGGGCCTTTCAATGTGAATTGCTCAGCTAGGGCACATAAAGAGCACCAATGCCTTTAACCGGAGCCATCTCTATGCAAACAGGAGGGCACCATGCCAACGGCGGCCAGCAATCCAGGCCAGCTGGCTCTGCATAGACTCTCAGAGCCAGTCAAGTTGCTGCATTTCAGCTCAGCTCTTAGGGAGGCACGGCCCCCAGGAGGCAGTGGTTGACCAATGTAATTAAGTGTAATTAGAAGGCCCCTTAAGAGCCAGTGGAGCTGGGCCGCTGCCTTCAGGAGAGCCACTTTCTGAAAGCGCAGCATTAAATACCACCCTGCTGGAGTCCATATTGCCCCCTCAGCGAAGTGCCCATTACATTCTTCACAGCTGTCTGCAACACAAGCAGCCCACAAGAAAAGAGGGAGAGAGAGAGAGAGCAGAATTGGGAAACACCAGTCTTCTTTTTAATTGACCAAAACAAAGGAAACCAAATTTTGTGTCGAGTTGCAGAGCTCCCTCCCCTGGGGCTCACCGTCCATCCATGAATGATGAAAAAGGTTTTGGCTGTCATGTTGAAGCCACAGTCTTCCAAGGGCTGGTTGTGGCCCAGGGAGAGGTAGCATCCTTCATGGTCTGAGTCCCCAGAGGTGCGGAGGTTGAATCTCACAGATTTGGCAGCAACCTGTATATGCCCAGACTTGTGGCGCTCATCTGGGGGAAAAAGAACAGAATGTGGGTGCATCTGGCAGGGGCTTGGATAAGTGAGAGACCTGGGGTCTAGTTTTAGTCCAGTCTTGAGCACATTACTTAATCCTCTGGGTTTCAGTGTTTATACCTGCTGAATGTTTTCTCCTCACCTCCCAGAAGAGTTGCAAAGATATGATAAAGGGACATCTCCTCCATATTGAAGAATATTAGTTAGTCACTAGTCCTAATTACTATGAATTACTGTGACTCTGAAATAAACAGGTGTCTCTTGTTTTTTTTTCCTCTTCCCTATCAAATGAGTTCTCCTTCCGTCAAGTGACTACTTGGTCCTCAATTCTTTTCCCGAAATGCTTGGGACCAGCTGAGATTCAGAATTCGGAATGTTTCAGATTTTAGAAAGGCCTTCTGGGACGTAAGCTATGTGGTGCATGACATCCCCAGTGTGGTCTGGGGCATTCCCCAATCATCAAACACACGAATATATCTGCAAGGAAACACACAACCACTCACCACTCAAGGGCAAAAATAAAGGTTATAGATAGTCTTGTGTCAGTTCTGGTCCGTTTTTGCTGCCAAATCAGTTCAGGGCAGGTAAGGCCGTGTCTTGCTGCCAAACAAATTACCAAATAAATGTTCCCATTTTGAAAGCTTCTGGATTTTAAATTCGAGATAAGAAGCCATCAACTATCATACAGTGGGCTTCCCCTAGCATTCCCAGCTGGATTCCAGCACTTACTCCAAAGACCTCCTGCATCCTCAGGACTCCTTGCCATGCCAGACATGAGCCAGACCTTCTTCTAGTTTGTTAAATAAATGACTGAAGCCATAGGGGAGATCCATAAGAGCAGCAAAACCGTTCCTTCCTGCTCCACTGCTCACACAGAGTGCCCAGCTCCCAAAATACAGCAGATGTTACTGAGGTCCCTATGGCCTCTTAACTCGAAGCACTGTCATCACCACGCCATTATGGACAGTCATAAACAAACCCCATCCAGCATTCTTCCAGCCACCTGGGAAACTATCCCTTTATAACAGCCTAGGAAATTAGCAAATATAACTCTCCTGTCACCCAGAGATCAAGGGAAAAAATACCAAATGACCACTCCAGGAGTTTCATTTATCCCAGAGTTAAGAAGCAAATGGAATCATGAAAGGAGAGACCAAAATGGTAGAAAAGGTGGCGATGGGGAGGAAAAGAATACACCAGATGTAAAAGGATAGGGTTCCAGAAAATGCAACTAAATATACATGAGCAGACCTCAGGTTAACTGTCATTAAAGTAATGAACAAAAGCTCCAGCGGGCAGAAATTTGAACCATGGACAAAAATAGTCTGCCTCTCCAATTCCCGCCCAGGTAGCCATTCACAGAGACCAGATGGGGAACTGTAGGAGAAAAGACAAAAGTCTTCTGGCTTCCTGGGACAGATTTGTGGATAAACCCACATATTGACATAAAACGTTCACCTGAGTATCTGGTCTGACCCCAGAGTTCTCCAGCTTCATTCCTACTACTTTCAGCCTGGGTCAGTTCGGCCTCTGGGACTTTACGATTGTTCTTCACCCATGTGCCCTCATGGCTCATTCTCTTACGTCCTTCAGTTCCTTGCTTGGTGGTCAACTTCACAGTGAGGGAAGCCTGACTACAGATGAAAAGCCTGACCACCTTCTCCACCAACACCCTGTTCCTCCTCTGCTTTACTTTTCTCCTACTGAGCATCATTTATATATTTTAATTAGTTTGGTGTCTGTCTTCCCACTACTGAAATGTAAGCTCCATGAGGCAGGGTCTTCATCTGCTTTGTTCATTGTTGTATCTCCCCCCCCCCCGCCCCCAGAAGAGGCACTAAGCAGGCACACAATAACGACTTTCTCAACTGAAAGAATAGCCCATGAATACTCAGAATCACGGAACACAGAAGTTGGAAGGAACCTTGGCGCTTTACAAGAGAGGAGCTAGAGATGTGAGTAAAGCAAAGCTTTCCCATTCATTCAAATTAACCTGCCCTCGTGTACATAAACTGACATGGGCCAACATCATGCCCATGACGGCTCAACCTCAGCAGAATAGTAGAAAATGAGATAACGGGGTGGAGTTTAGGGGATCTCCCCTCTCCCCTGCTTAACTAATTGACTTGGCAGCCCCGATGGGTGATCCTACCCTCATTCCACCAGGGCGGGCTTCCTCTAATGGAAGAGACTGCCATACAGAACTCAGAAGGAAGAAAGTCCAGCATCTAGGAGGAAGAACGTGAAGAGAGGTAGGTAGGCAGAGTGGTGACTGGAAAGGGTGTAGGGGGAGGAGGAGGCCAGCCACCTGGGGGAATAAGCCCAGCGGCCTTCCCGAACGTTACTCACCAAATAAATGCTCCCTGCATGCGCTAATCAAACCACAGCCAGCTACCCTGCCCCCCAACTTTCCAAACACCTACACCCAGTTTAGAAGGAGGGGCACCAGGCGACTTGGCTCTAACAACCTTCTTGCCTCGCAAAGGGCAATGCTGAAGAGCCGTCGGCAGCCGACTCTGCGGGTTGGACGGCACCCATCCAGGGAACCTTATCATGGAAGCGGGGCGGGGGGGGCGAGAGGGTGAGCGCGGGCCAGCGCCCCCGTCCGCCGGCGGCCTCTCGGATGCCTTGCGGGGGATGTCCTAGTCAGAAGCGCCAAGGAACAAGTGAACCGCAAAGCTGATTAGGAGGAGCGACTGGGCAGTGGGAAAGGCAGGAGGATTTCGCAGGCACCAGCAGCGGCTGGAAAGGGGTCGGCAAGACAGAGAGGGGACGTGGTAGAGAAAAGTTGGGGGTGGGTGGATGGGGCGGGGGGGTAATAAGAATAAGAATAAGTGCACGTTACCTCGCAGCCATCCCTCCGGCCCAGGGGGTGTGGAGCTTCCCGCGGCAAAGCAACAATAGACGCTCCAGAGGCAGAACAGAGGAACGGAGTTTCGCATCCTTCCCCGCCACACCCCCTTCCCCGAAACAGGACGGAAAAAGAGAACACCTCTCGGGGTTTCTAGCAGTCCGCGCGGGTAAGACCCGCAGTGGGCAGCCCTCTCTTGACCAGAGAGCGGTGGCCTTAGCCAGCTGAAGGTGAAGGTGGGAGTGAAAGTTTGGCTAATCTGAGCCACGGGGAGTGGCGGGGAGTATGAAGGGGCTTGAACTGGATCTGCCCTCACCCGTGCCGCCCGCCCGGGAAGCCAGGACTTGCCGCTGTCACTCCTCGAACTCCCGGCGAGGTAGTTTTTTTAAAGTATGGGAGTCATCTGACCCATCGCCAGATGGTGATTTGCATAATTTATTCCCGTCCCTGGACTCTGATTGGTCACACCTTCGCTGACGCCGGAACCGAGACTCCCCAAAGTTTGAATGAAGCGCAGCACACCCACCGCGTGGACGCTCCGCACGCGCGGCCTGGCGTCCAACCCCGCCCGCTTGGCTGGCAGCCGAGCTCCCGCCACCGCACTTCCTCCTTGTGCGGGCTCTCCGACCCCAGGTTCTCCGCTCGCCCCCGCCGCCCCAGGGGGGACACCGCGCCGAAACGCTGCGCCCGCTGGGAACGCGATCCCCGGAGAAGGCAGGTTATCCTTTCCCAAGTGCAAAGCCACCCCTGCGCCCGAAATGAGCTTTCCGCGCACCCAAGAGTCAGGATGGAGGGGAGTCACCAGGTCACCCTTTGGGTCCTTCTCTTCTCGAGCCCCCTCACCCCCAGCGAGGCCCGCGTGCGACAGGTGCGTAGAGTGATCTGACAATAATCGGGCAGAGCTGAGGGGCTGTGGGCTGTGGGCTCTGAACTGCCTGGGCTTTTCAGGATCGCACAGACCCTTTCCGCGTCACTGTTCCGCCACTAGCAGCAAAACTTTGGGAAAGCCCCCAGCTTCTCTCAGGTCGTTCCGTCGTCCGCAGTACTCGGGTGGTAACAGTTCCCGCAGCTTAGGGATGTTGGGGAAATTAAGAGAGATAGTGTGATACAGCGCTTAGCACGGGGCCTGCCAAGTGGTAGGCTCTCTCTTGCCTTGGGGGTGGAGTGCTAGAGGGATACCAGGCGACACTTCCCAAAGGAACAGTGAGCCAAACTTAGAGGTCTCAGACGCCTGACCAGCGCCAAGTCTCGGCCCGACGCGCGCAACTCCCTGTTGATTGGAATTAAGCAGCAGCTTCTTCCTTTCCTTGATCATTTTTCCCCTCCTGTCCTTCCCTTTATTGATCCGCGTCCCTCCTCCTCCCTCCGGTGCTGGCTCCAGCTCCCCGGCTCCCCGGAGGGACCCTGGGACTTAACTTAGAGTGACCGAGACCTTGACTGTGAGTCTGCGGCTGACGCCCGGGAGCCAGAGCTGAACCTGGGGCAACCTCGGGGCGGCGGCAGGGACAACTGGGAGGCAGCTGCGCCCCAACAGCCCTTGGGGACGCAGAGAGGGTAGGAAGGGCAGAAGGCGCCACGACAGGGCTGCGGTCCGCCGTGCCTTCGCGTTCCAGCCAGCCAGAGTTGGCTCTGCAAGACTGCATCTTTGACATCGAGTAACCCCACCGTGGCAGGGAACCAGTCCCACTCTTGCCTGGGGAGGAAAATGCCTGGGCAGGCTTGCGCCCCTTCCTTCCTGGTGTCAGGGCCCCAGCCGGGGAGATCAGTGTGGGGAAACCAGTCCTGAGGAGCAGGTTCTGGTCCCGCCTATCCTCCTTACTTTTGTTACGCCGGCTGCCAGCGGAGCACGCTTTGTCCCTCCCATGTGCTGTAATAAATTAACAAGAAGGAGGCTAGCTTTATCTCTTAATATTAAACCCCGTGCACTTGGGATGGTAAGTACCACCCCAGATACGCTCCTTTCCTTCTGCTCCAGCTCTCCTCCATTGGTAAAGGATACAGACATAAGTCAGGTATTATCTGCGTTTTGTAGATAGGAAAACTGAGTCAGGGACAGGCTGAGGGTTTGAAGGTCGTTTGGACAACCAGATCTCTCTCCTCTGCCCTAGAAGCCAGTTTAATTTGGCCAGTTGGCTTCTAAATAGGAGCTCTTGGGAACCATGTCCCCCATCTCTCCTGCCTCAGCGGCAAAAATCCCTTTTTCTGTCCTGAGTTGCTCAAAGCCGTAGTCCCTAGAACCTTAACTGGACAGTGTGGAGGATGTGTCTTGGGGGCCTTTGCCACATGTGAGATCCCCTAGGAGAACTAGGTATTCCTGCAAAGTTGGTTATCCTACCTGGGGGGCAAAACACAGATTCAACAAAATCAATATCCATGTTTTTAACTGCCAAGGCTATGAAACCATTTAAGTTTTACTGCTGGTTGGTTAGAGTGCCCTCCTGTGTCTCTATATTAAAATATAATGTAAGAACTGGCAAAGGACATAATGAAATAACAGTCGCAGCATAAGAGTAATGTGTAACATCAACTGTTTGTTATACGTCATACTTTCCAGAAGAACCACAGGAGATCTGGGGAGCCTCCTGTGTGGAGGAAGTCTCTGTCTGGGGAGTTTCAGCAGAAAATTCTGTTTAGGGGTCCCTGGGTGGCTCAGTCGAGTAAGCATCTGCCTTCCGTTCAGGTCACGATCCTGGAGTTCCCGGGGATTTCTTGAGCCTCTCCGGATCCCTGCTCAGCAGGAAGTCTGCTTCTCCCTCTGCCCCTCACCCCACTTGTGCTCTCTCTCACTTGCTCTCTCTCTCTCTCTCAAATAAATAAATAAAATCTTAAAAAAAAAAAGAAAAGAAAAAGTTCTGTTTGAGTTGCTGTCAAAATTTCAAGGTCTCAGGCTACTCTAGTAAAGGATTCTGGTCATTCGTTTTGCCTGCCAACATGTGAAGGCACCTTTCTATGTTAAAGGAATGAATTCTCCTCTTATGAGACCTTTCCAGCCTCCCTTGCAGGTAGAGTTTAAATTCAGCCAATCAAACTCTGACCTGGAAGCTAGTGAGGCCAGAAGCCCGTGGAGAGGGCTCTACCAATGGTGCAGCAGCGGACGCAGCCAGCTCTGGTTCTCTGGGGCAGTGGAGAGATCACCAGTTAGACCAGTCTGCAGTGGGATTTCGCCCCTGCCATCTGCCTGAATGCTCTCCCAAGCCTGGTTCCTGTGCCCTGCAGAGATTCGGGGTTATTAGTCAATATCATTTCAATGAGTTCCTCCTCCACATTGCTCGCAACTCACAAGATGACTCAATCACCAGATGTTAATTGAGCAGCTACTACAGGTAAAACACCCGGCCGAGCACCCCCAAGGAAGGTTCAGGGGGCCATCCCTACTTTCATGAACAAAGGTAGAGAGTTACAAGTGGCAACAGATCGCTGGCTAGGAGCTACCAGACATCCAGTGCTGTCCAGCAGAAATAGAAGCCACATGTGTTCATCAGCTCGGGTTTCAGTAACAAAATACCATGGAGTGGATGGCTCGAATAACAGAAATTTATTTTCTCACAGTTCTGGAGGCTGGCAGTCTGAGATTAGGATGCCAGCATGGTTGGGTTCTGATGAGAACCCTCTTTTTGGCTTGTGGATGGCTGTCTCCTCACTGTCCTCAGACGACCGAGGGAGACAGAGACAGAGAGTGAGCAAGCTCTCTGGTCTCTTCTTTTAAGGGCACTAATCCCATCATCAGGGCCCCAACCTCCTGCCCTCATCTAAACCTAATTATCTTTCAAAGGCCCCATCTCTAAAGACCATCATACCGAAGGTTAGGGCTTCAACATATGAATTTGGGAGGGGGGCACAATTCGGTCTGTAATGCCACGTATGTGATTTTACATTCTCTAGTAGCAACACAAAAAGATAAAAAGAAACATGTGAAATTAATTTGCTAAATTGATTTGACCACAGAAACCTCATCCCACACAGAATTTAGTGAAGGCTCAGAATTCTCCAAGAACATTGTCTGGAAAGCACTGGGTTAAGAACTGTAACCACAGAGGAAGTTAACTGAGGCTCAGTTTAAACCTCCATTCGTAAACTGACCTCAACTCTCCTATATGCTGAAGGTAGCTTTGGGTAGGCTTGTTTGGGTTTGTTGATTTGTTTATGTTTGCCCCTCCTTTGCAAATCCACAAGCTTCAATACCTAGAATTCTTTCACTTAGAAGACGTCTAAAAGGAGCTGAGTCATTCTCCTTAATAAAGAGATGTTCCTGCAAATTCATATATGCAGTTTATACGTGGCTGTTTTCCTTCTGGGTCTATACAGGCATGGAGCAGGTCAAATGCTGGGTTTAACCAGGGGGTTGGATGGTTTCAAGGAATTTGCCTGAGAAACCAGCCAGGCCCGGCACATTATTTTGGGGAGAGATAGCAGGGCTGGGCTACATTATCAGGGTGAGACCCAGGGAAAGGTTATTAAGCTCCACTCACAGCCCCCAACGCCACAACACCAGGGTGGTTCAGCTCAGAGTGCCATTTAATTCACTGTTAGTAATCTTCTCCAATGAGCCCTACATACAAAAACTAAATACCCACTGTGATACCAGCCAAGAACGTCAGGGTCCTCAGCACACCTGGGGGTCTGCAACCTCCCACAGAGAGGACAGGAGGACCGTGTGGAGGAAGCCCAGCTGAGCAAACCAGGTGGACCTGCTGGGACCCTTCCTCTCGCCCATCACTTCCACACAACAGAACAGGGCAAAGGAAAGGCTGAGGCAGAGGGGCTCGTGGCCAACTGAGAAGCGTGTAAAATGGTTCAAAGGACAGCCTGGAAGACTAGATCATCAAATTTTAAATGCTCTGGCATTTCCGAAGCTCTGTGAAAAAAAATATTTTTTAACCTAATTCAAAAAGGTCCATCTTCTAGCAAAATATGTTACAAATAACTGACCCCAGGTTATCTGAAGAGACCAAAAACACAAGAAAAGATCCATAGTGACCAACTATTCCATCCATACAGGCCCTCAAAATGCCAGATGTATATGGTTCCCCAGATAAATTCCCTTAAAATACCAAACCTTTGGTTAAATCCAATTTTTCACCTATTCCTGTATCTATGCATCTACATAGC